GATGCTGACCGAGTTTGTGAAAAGCCTCGCCGTAGGGAGATCTCTCGATGGCGGTTCATGGTGAGCAAGACTCACTTTACGGATCAGAAAGTTAGGTTTCCTTTATCTGAGTTCGAGATGGGGGTGCTAGCCCATCTACGGGTTGCGCCTTCTCAACTTTACCCTAATGCTTGGGCGTTTGTTCGGGTCTTTGAAAAGATATACCGATATTTTGAATGGGTGTGCTCTGTGCGGTTATTCTTTTATTGCTTCCAGGTGTCGCCCTCGTTGAAAAAGCTTAGCTGGGTTTCGCTGAAGGTGGGGACCGGATTGGGATCGATATTTGCTTAGTACGCCAATTCATATAAGAACTGGAGGGAAACTTTTTTCTGGATTCAACCAGTACTTGGCGAGGGGGAATTGCCTTTTTTCGTTGACCGAGAGAGTGGGAAAAGTCAGTTTGAGCTATATTGGACCAAGGCCCATTATAAGATTCCTGCCAGTCAGTATTCATTTGGGCACGAAGCCTTGTCTCATGAAGAAGTATTGGTAGTGGATTGGTTTGTGGAGGTTAAGGGAGGCCTTGATCGGTGGCCTACGAAGAAAGTGTTGTGTTATGGAGGTGTGGAGGTGATTCGTACCATTTATGGCTATGTTGTGAGTATTAACTGTCTTTACTAACACTTTGTCTTTCCTATCTTGCAGTTGAGAGCTTGCTGGTGGAAACATTGAGACTTGCACGTGAGGCGGCTGCCAAGGTTAAGGCTGCTAAGGGTGTGGTTCCTCGGGTTGCACCCAGCCCCGCCGCGAAGAGAAAAGATGTGGACAAAGGAAAAAAGAAAGAAGTTCACCACCGCCGGAAGAAATTTGATCTGCGGCTGACATTCCTGCTGGTGAGCTGGAGAGGAGGGCGACTGTCTCTATAATTAAAGAACCCACGAATGTGGTGGGAGGTTCGTTGACGAGCGAGTCGACATTCGGATCAGTGTCGCCTGGGCGTGAAAGCTCAAGGCTGAAAAGGGGAGGAGACGAAAACTTAGTCCTGCCTGGGGGTTCAAAGATGTCGCGCCTTGAGTTATCTGAGTCGAGGCAGTTAACAGATTACGACGGCCATGTCTTGGGTGGCTTTCATGAGGACTCTGGTGATGATGGGATGATGGTGACTAGTGCTCCTGGTGGTGAAGGGCTCTTGGTAACAGCGGGTGCGCAGAAGGTTCTTTCTCCTGCTGAGATCCCAGTTGGCATGGCCCTCAAGTTATCAGAAAGGGACCTTGACTCCACTTTTCCTAACCTCGGACAACCTAAGATGGTGGTGCCAGAATGAATCAATCGCCAGGAAATCCTGAATTGTACGCAAGTGGTCATTGGCCGAATCTTGGGTATCCAAAAGGTCGCCCTTGCTGTTGACGGCCGCTGCTCCGCTCCGGATGATCGCCTGGATGAGATGGGGAGTAAGGTAGATTGTCTGACCACCGATGTTGGACGCCTTGGTAAGGAGGTTAGTGAACAAAAAGCTGCTAACAAGTCTCTGGCTACGCAGCTGAAGAACGCGAGTGAAGAGGTTAAGCGCCTAACCTCCGAAAAAGATGACTTGTCAAAATTGTTGGACGAGTCCACAAAGGACAAAGAGGGCCTCCAATCGGAAAAAGACCAATTATCTGCTGAATTGGTCTCCGTGCATGGGAACCTTCACGCCACTCTGGAAGATCTAAAAAAATCAACTGGGCGGGTTGAAGAATTGGAGGAAGCCTTGGCGAGCCTTATGTACAAGTCGTTCAACAATGCGATTCGACAAGTCTACGTCCGACATCCTGAGCTTGACATAACCGGTTTCAGCCCTGAGTATGAGGTGGAAGGAAACAAGATAATTGAGCGGCTAGCAGGTGGCGAGGTGGAGGTAATTGAGGAGGGTCCCGACACTGACGAAGATGAAGGCTCACCAGAAGTCCCTCTTATTGGCAACGCAATCGGTGATGGCCATCCTGTTGAGGATGAGGCTGGGCGTGACTTGTCGACGAGACTTGCTGGCGTGACTTTATTTGGCCCAGATACGGAGAGTGGGGGTGGTGTTGTCGCCGCTGGCGTGGCTGAACAAGCCTTGGTAGCTGCAGAAGAGGTGACCCCTACGGGAGACCGTCAAGTTTAATTTGTAAATTTAGATTTTTCCTTTGCACGGTTGGTATGCCAACCGTTAGCTTTCCCCTTTTTTCCATGGTTGGTATGTCAACCATGGACTTGTACTTCTTTAGTTATTAACGAATTTTGCCGCTCCTTGTTTAATCCTTCTTACTCACACCCAATGCATGGGTCTAATATGTTGTAACTTTCCATTAATTGACGCGTGGGTGAGAACCGTCCCAGACCAATGCATGGCAGGGGTGAGAACCGTCCCTGTCCAACGCATGGCGGGGGTGAGAACCGTCCCGTTACTTGGTTGTTGGCTGGGGGTGAGAACCGTCCCAGTCCAACGCATGGCGGGGGTGAGAACCGTCCCGTTACTTGGTTGTTGGCTGGGGGTGAGAACCGTCCCATTCCAACGCACGGCGGGGGTGAGAACCGTCCCGTTACTTGGTCGTTGGCTGGGGGTGAGAACCGTCCCAGTCCAACGCATGGCGGGGGTGAGAACCGTCCCGTTACTTGGTCGTTGGCTGGGGGTGAGAACCGTCCCAATCCAACGCATGGCGGGGGTGAGAACCATCCCGTGTGGTCGTGGGTTCGATCCCCACAGACGGCGCCAATGTACCGTTGGGATCTATAAGCCCACTATGTTCCCTTTGGGGATAGAGTCACTGTATGGATGATACCCTTAACACAGGTAGAGACCAAGCTAAGAGGCACTGTTCCAAGTATGAAGTAAGCAGTCAACAATGGGGTTAGGTGTGTGTATGTGTGACTCAATATAAATGGGCAAAATAACGATACATAAGATACCTTCTTGATGTGCCAATGGGGCTATTTATAGGGGAAGGTGATGCTAATCTTATGTGGGTTGGTGAGGAGGGGGTCAACCCTCCTTGGGATCTGCTAAGGGTGGCAGACGCTACTGGGCGTGGCAGGCGCTGCTATGATAGTAGCGATGCGCCCCCTGTGCCTGGCGGTGTCAGCGTGCGACAAAGGGCAATTTCCTCTTATGGTATCTGGGACGGACACCTTTGGGGGTTGAGGTCCCAAGATGGGACATTTTGGTGTTTCCCCTAGGGAGTGTCGTCGCGTTGGGGGTTGGAGGGCTGACAGTTGATAGGGCTGACATGGATAGGGGGTCGAGATTGGGCTTGGACCTTTGGGCCGCTGTGTTGTGGGCCATCCGAAACATGTTTCAATACCAACTTAAAAAAAAAATGCAACAATAAAAACCAAACATTATACTTTTTGAAACCAATATTCTTGGTTTCTACAAAAAAAAGGTTAAAATATTAGTTTTTACAATAAAAATGATTTTTAAATACTGTATTCAAAACGCAACTTAAAATAAATTTTAAAAAATATTTCTAAAAAAGAATGCAATTTTTTTTTAAAAGAAAAAACTTAATTGGCTTGTAACTTATTAGTTGAATATATATATATATATATATATATATATATATATATATATATATATATATGGCTTTACTTTTCTCCTGCCGCTTGACGTCCAACAAATAAATTTGGAGAATCATATTCATACAAAAATAGATGAAAACATTAAATACGAGGAATTATAACCAATCAATTATGTAAGATTTATTGCTTGACGTCCAGCAGCTGGAGAAATAATTTTACCATATATATATATATATATATATATATATATATATATATATATATATATATATATATATATATATATCAATCAGCTTACGTAATTGTAAAATTAAGAAATCTCATAAAAATTTTAGTCGTTTTATATTCATTAATTAATTATTAAATTATAATAATAATAAATAAATAAAAGACAATAATAATAAACAAATAAAAGAAGCTCTACTGTGATGACTTTTTTTTCCCCTTCTAAAAAAATCTATCGTGTGGTTGAAAGCACCGGCAAGCGTTGGACTGGATTGATATTTTTGTAACAACAATCTGGTACCTTTGGACTTGGAGAAACAAGGAGGTGCATGACCCATCATTCTCTAGACCCTTAAACGCAATTCCGGTAATTTCTAGCTTTATTTCTGATATTGTGGTTGCTAGGGAGAGTAAGATTGGTCATGCTGCTTCACAAGATAATTCTGAAGCTGAGAGGTGGATGCCACCCCCGAGGGGGTGGTGGAAACTCAATGTTGATGGAGCAGTGAACATTCATTCCAAGAAGGCATCATGTGGAGGCCTGCTTCGAGATGAAAAGGGAGTTTGGGGGAAAGGGTTCACGTATGGGATAGGGTCTTGTTCCTCTCTAGAGGCTGAAGTCTGGGCTATTTTCATAGGACTCCAGTTTGCTTGGCACTGTGGAGTGGAAGAAATTATTGTTGAAAGTGATTCTGCAGTAGCCATAAAGTGTCTCAATAATAGGAATAATAATAGGGATAGTATGGGACCAATTCCTCATATTGAAAGCTGTATAAAGCAGTGGTGTTCGAAGGAGTGGGAAGTCAAATTACATTATATCAGCAGGAAAAGGAATGGGTGCGCAGACATTTTGGCCAAATTTCCTTGCAACTCAGCTGAGGAGCTGAAGATTCACCATGAGAGTCCCCCTGCTTTGGGGGTGTATGCTGGCCTCTGAGGCTGGCAATTACTTGTTTTAGTTTTTCTTTTGGGCTCCGGCCCCATTTCGTATTAAAAAAAAAAATAAATTTTTTTTGAGACATTCTTATAAGTTTTGTGCATTCAAACTGTTCATGAAATTAATTGTGGTGTAGCCCAAAAAGCACACACTTACTTTTCAAAAGAGTTTGAACAATTATAGACAATGTCATGAATAAAACACAACTCATTTGACAATCCCAACTCCCTTAGAGCCAAGGACGAAGCAGTAACTGATGTGTGAACAATTTTACTTTTGCAAGCAGTGCTATTTATATATAAATAAGTAAGTACGGATTTACACTTGTTGAATAACTATACGGGCTTGTCTACTCTATGTTGCATGAGAGAGCATATCTTATGCTAGGACACAAAATGATGGAGTTCACCCTTTTAAAGGAAAAAAACAAAAAAAATAAAAAATGACAGTTCAACTATCGAAGTATATATGACATAAGATAGTAGTCTCCTAAAACATAAGCCTATTATTTCCCATAATTATAAACCACATTTTACAATTCACATTTTCTTTTATCCACCTACCTTTTTAGTGATTTGCTGTTCTGCTTACATTCTTGCTTCTAGTGTAGAATCTACCAAAACTAGTATTGCTTTTTTAATAGGTAACAAATGGGTTTAACTAAACTGATGATTCAGAATCTCTTTTGGGAAAACTCAAATCACTATTATGTAATTTCAACTGCTCACCACCATTATGGGGACCTGATGTAACTTGACAAGTTAACTCCATAGGGTTCTCTGAATCAAGTAGGAAGTCTTCCACTGTTGCAAGGGACTTTAATTGCAGTCCAAGAGATTCAATGGTTTTACGGCATTCAGAAAATCTACTAGCAGCCAATTCAAGTTCCTTCTCCTGCATTAAGAGATGCCAAACTATTATTATGAAAAGAGTAAGTAACTAATGGTTAATGTGAGATATTTACACAACAAACATCACTGATATTTAGCTATTTAGTCATCAAATGCAATTGCAACAAATCTTCATGTGGACTCTAACATGTTAATATTTGGACTAAAACTTAGCTTAAAGCATCATGCACTTGACAATATTTTAACTAGTCTGTTTAAACAACAAAGAAATTGAAGGAAACTTAAATTATAGAGTTCCTATTGTGTGTTACCAAACTGACCTGCTTTAAGTTTAACTCACTATTAAAACCTTCCCTATGTAGTATCTCAGTGTCTTGCTGAAGTTGTGCTTCATGCTTCATTCTGAAAAGCTCATCCTCCAAGTTCCCACACTTGGCCAAATTCTCAGCAGAGAAAGCTTGCTCTTTCTCAATCTCATCCTCTAATGAACAAATTTTTGAAATCAATTCTTCTACCTCAGTTTGAGAAACTCTGAGTTTTGACTCAACTATCTCATTCTTTGCTTGGGTTTCTTTTAGTTCTTCATATGCTTCTTCATCTGATTTTTTTGAAAGAGCTAACTGAGTTTGAAGCTCTGCTACCTCCAACTCCATTTCCTTTATCCTATTCTGTGATGCCTCAAGCTGCTTTTGGCACTCGGTTAAATCCATCTCAAGCTCAAGTTTATCTGCCTCCATTTTCTCTAGCTTCTTTTCCAATGCAGCATTCTTTTTAACCAAAGCTTCCACTTCAGTATTTACTGTGCCCTGGCCAACATTAGGTTGGTCTGATGCATGTCCTACCATAAGAAAACTGCTTACACTTTCTGTATCTGGCAATGCAACAAGCCTTTCCATTTCAAGGAAATCATCCATCAGATTGATCTCAGTTGAAAGGACCATACAATTTTTTCCAGTAGAGTTTTCATTCTTAAATTGATCTTCTGTAATTAAAGAAGATTGCCATGAATCATAATTGCTTGGCTCACCTTCATTCATCTCCCATCCTCCTAACTTGTGCATATCACTTTCAACTACAATTAGCCTCTCTGCACTATCTGACATGCTATCTGTGAAAGACTCCACATAAACTGAAGAGGCATTCAAAGACCTGTGATCATTAGCAGAGAATGTTTTGCAAGTCATGGCTTTAAGTCTACGGCACTCGGCTTCGAGCTTAGCCACCTTCTTTATACTCTCCAAATGTTGCTTGCTTGCTTTTTCGGCAGCTTGGGTACTTAAATCCCTCTCAATGGTCCTGAATTCTAGTTCCTCAAGTCGATATTGTAGCTCAATTTTAAGACTTGAATTCCCTTTCTCCACATCCTTAAGCCTCTGGTGAAGATCAAAACCAACTGATGCAGCAGCATCTGCTTTAGCTGTTTGAAGCTGAGCCTTAAGCTCTTCTCTAGCTTGTTGAAGTTGCCGCATGCACTCCTCGAGTTCCCCATCAAGATGACTAACTCGGTCTTCAAGAACTGAATTCTTCTGTTTTTCAGCGTCAAGTTGTTGTTTTAAAGTTAATACTTCATTTTCAGCCTTCTCCCAGCCTAAATAAAATGAAAGGCCAATATAGAAGTATTTAGTTCATTAATTAATGTAAGTTTTTAGCTCAAAAAAGAAAATAAAATAGATGTCTTTCAAAGAATTTGGATTAAACTTCCCAATAATCCCTCTAGAGAAGAAGCTTCTCCTGTACCATGGACAAGCAGATAAAGCAAATTTTAGTATAACCCCTGGATCATGTTCAGATGATTTTAGATATTCATTTTTCATAAACCATAACAAAGTCAGCACTTGAACAAATACAACAATCTGACCAATAAACAACGAAGTTGATTGCAACTTTTCAATACCTCAAGCACTTTCTCATTGTATAAACTTGTCTGCCAAGTCAGGGAGAAATTATTGATATACAAGATGGGCAATCAACAAATACCTGAGACAGCTTCTTCAGCAACTTTAGCATGCTGCTTTATCAAGTCTTCTTTGGAACTAATGTTTAAGAGAGCAGCAGATAATTTTTCTGTTATAGTCTTCGCATTAGTAACTTCTTCATTTGGAGCAGCCTTAGACGTAGCTTCTGGAGATGGAGTAGTTTGGGTGGAATATACCTTTACAGCATGGAAAAAGCATCAGATTCATATTTTTGCCATTCCAACTTACAACAATTTGAACAGTCAGATATCTCAAAATACGACTGAATTTTAATGACCTATATGCTTTAGAAAGGAATACTTCCATTCAAAATTTGCATACCAAGGAATAACAGTTTTCAGCTTGCCAAGAAACTTAAAAACTATCTCAAGCAACAGACAAGTTGAACTATGATTCCAGTCTCTTGTACTCTTGACTCAACTAAGCCTTAGCAATTACAGCAAAAGGTTTTCTCTTTTTATTTTCCCTCCCCATCACTTACTCCTTGGATAAGGCCACATTCTCTGTTTATAACACCTCAATTTTGTGCTATTGAGTGTTGAATCCATGTCATATTAGATTCCCTCCATCTATCTTCTTCATCCCTCTCAACAAAAACTACAACTTCTGTTGAGATATATAAAACCATTAATGTAGTCTCACTCAACAGCTTAAGCTTTTGGGTTAAATTGGTTCTTTACATGGTATCAAAGCCTCGGTGTACTGGGTTTGATCTTCACCGCCTCCTATTTTCTTTCTAGTGAAATATCTTTCTTCGCACAGGTAGGTGGGTATGTGCATCGTTCACCCTTTAAGTCTAGTGGACTCTCGTGTGAGGGGGCATGTTGAGATATATAAAACCATTAATGTAGCCTCACCCAACAGTTTAAGCTTTTGGGTTAAATTGGTTCTTTACAACTTTCACCTCCAAAAATGACCACTACCCTGAAAGTTCACTACATCACAAATACTAAGAGCTAACTATGTTGTAGGATGATATCTCCCACTCCTTCCCCATGCGGTTCAGTAATGCAAAAGAAAGGATGGAAACAAATATGATCAAACCATGAAAGCATGCAAAATAGAGAAGTTAACAATGTACGTAGCCAAAAAGGTTCTACCTGATCATCAGAGAATCTTTCTGAATGAGATGACACTGATCCAGAACTCTCAGTTTCACCAGGGCTTTTCTCAAATGACTTTCTGCGCCATAGCCAACTCCTCCTATCCATCTATAATATAGGCAAAAAAGCAACACCTCCTTATTCCCTCACAGAACACCATGAGCCACAGAACCAACCCTTGGTGCTCAAAAACCACTACTAATGCTAACCAAAATCCCAAAACCCTTTAGCCTGAAATGAACTATAAAGCAGAAACTCAGAACTGGATCTGGGGCTATCAAGAGCAAAGTGTTTAACCAGAAGAAGTAACTTGCAAAGAAAACAGAAAGTGGTTATGAGAGCTTTGCTTTGAATTCACTTTCCAATCCCATCTACCTCGATTTCAACATTTATACAGCGAAAGGAATCACTGGTCAAACCTCACTCCATTCAGAAAAGGATATAAAATTGTAAAATGATTTCTTTAAAGGCTTTATCTATTCCTTTACATTCAAGACTCCCCAATTTCACGCCATTGAGAATTGGGGAGTAAAAGAGAAGAGAAAGGCCTATCTGCTGTGTCAATTCAAATATCTGCAAAGAAGACAAGGGAATCAACGGAATGAAGAAAAGAGCAAGAGAGAGGGATGGATCTGAGAGGAATGTCAGAAAAACTGCAGGGATAGAATAGAAGGAACATTATTGAATGGAAAAAAAAGGGACAGAGAAGTGTAGGGACCAAGAACTGTGAAGAGGTGGTCTCAAAAGTCCACTTCTAGTTTTATCTTAACTTTCATTGTTATGCAGGTAAACTCTGTTGGAGTTTTATTCATACAAAAACCGAGTTGTTCCCGCTCATTGGCCATGCAATTTCACTAGAAGCATTCAGAGTAGGACTATACTGTGAAACTTTTATTTACAAATTTACAAACTACATTGTATTTTACCAGTAATATACTGTTACTTAAAAGTAAAGTATATTACCGGTGAGACATAATATAATTTGTAAGAGTTTATAAAATAAAATTTTTATAAATATAACCTTCTTCTCAAAAATGTTATTATTTTCTTTTTGTGTTTTTGTCTTGTTCTTGTTGCTATTATTGTTGTTAACTTGTTCTGCCATTGCTCTTGGCGCATCTGTTCCTTTTTCTCTTCTTTTTTCAGTCTTATATAATCCTTACATTGTCACACACTTTCGTGTGTATATAGAAAATAAAAGTATGTATTCATTTTTTTTATGTTGCTACGAAACTTTTTTATAGCAATCGATTATAACTATGTATTTTTAGAAATACATAATTATAATCTTAAAACTGTTTTTTTTTTTTTCTCTTTAAAAATTATTTGCTGAATTGGAATTTTTTTTTCCCGATAATAACTATGTATTTCAAAAAAATACATAATTATAATTGTTTATTGCAAAAAAAATTTTTACAACAACATAAAATTTCCTAAAATATAAAAAGCATGAATCCCTATAACATGTGAGTACCGTCTGTCTCCGGTCTCCCATCTTCCCACTGTTATTCTCCCTGTTGCGGCGCACACATAAAAACCACATGGGTCTCGTTCTCTTTTATTGTACAATTGTTGTAATGATACATATGGTGAAAGCAATATGCGGTTTTTATTCAGAAAAAGTTTTAATGTGAGTTTGAATTATTGTTTGAGGATTTAATGTTTAAAGAAATTTAAACATTTACCAACTGATTACGGCAGCAATTATATCATTTAATTGAACAACCAATTACGGAGAGAAGAATTTTCTTGTGCATGAAAACGACTGATGAAAGAAAATAAAATAATTATTTTATATTTGAAAGGAGAAGATTGGATAGAGAATATTTAATGTGAGAAGAAAACTTAAGTAAAATCATGTGATATAAAATGAGAAAATGCACGTGATTGCAGAAGAAAAATAAGTACGTAAATAAAACATTTTCCCCATAAAATATTGGGAATTAATGTTTTTATTTTATATGAAAAAAAATTTTCATACTACACTCACAATACATGAGTGGGATCCATAAAAAGATGAGAAAACAAAAAAGTCAAAATAGGACCCACTCATGTATTGTGAATGTAGCATGAGAAAAAAATTTCATGTAAAATGAGAAAACTATTTCCCTAAAATATTAGTGATAGTCAAGTTTGTTACAAAGGGTTAGATTGTTGTTTTATAATAAAATATAAAATATTTTAAACATTTTAACTATAAATTTTTATGAAACAGAATAAATAAATTAAAATACATACAAATACTTTTTTATATAGACTTGAGCTTCTAAGTAAGTACTACTGTAATTACTAATTAAACAACAAATCTGTTGATAATTTTCTAAGAATTTCTACACAAAATAAAGTTAGTAAACAATGTCTTTAACTTTAGAAGTGCTAACTCTCAAGTCAACCTTGGAGTTGATCAACAAAAACAGAAAAAAGTTTATCTTCACCAATTTATACTTCGAAAAAGGATTTGTATATCAAAGGATTTGGATAGGTAAGTTCATGTCAAGTGGTGGTGTGAAATTGTTGTTTTGTTGATGAATATGTTAATATTCATTAACTTGTATTGATTGATTGTGTGATATCTTGGTGTAGGTGTGTATTTTGCAAAGTTGTAGCTTGAATTCAAAGTTTGATTGGTTGCAAACTTGTTGGTGAACAAAGGTTGAATTGGAGCATTAAGGTAAGCCTTCGGACCTTGGGTGTAAATTCCTTTATTGTTCCATCAAGCCCTGAATGGGTAGTGGTTGTTGATAGTGTATGTAAATGCAATAAGTAGTTTAATGCTTTGTTATACATATGTGTTTGCTTTGGGAGTGGCATAGGATGGTGTTTCCCTATGTTTGTATGTTGCATGACGATGCGTAAATCATACTTGATAGATTCTCTGATCAGTAGGACTATTTGCATCTGAGTATCCTTAGGACAGCAAGAGCTCGAGGGATTTCTCCTGGAGATGTTTTACACACTGCATGGATATATATTTACTGCATTATTTATTGTGTATTGTTATTATACTGTGAAGTGAACTATGGGGTGGAGAGATTCTCCTAGGACCCCTGGTTTACTGTGATATATTCGTATATCTCACCCTGTGTTGTGGGGACCCCCTTTCAGGTACAGATGCTGCAAGAGCCTCTAGTGGCAAGTGGTTGTATTTGGACTAGATGGTCATATGTTGATAGCCTATCATTTTGGATTGCATCTCATCTAGGATAGTAGATGTATATGTCATTTACATTGCCATATGTACATGTATATTTTGAGGACACATGATGTATTTTGGGGGACTTAGTGCATGATCATTGTGGTGGCGAATGCCTTGTTGTAAATGGCTAATAGATGTGATCATGTTCCTTTTGTAGCTAAGTCCTTTGGCATGTATATGAAATTGGGAAGAACATTGATGCAATTGAAGCTTTGATGTATTGATGAATATGTGGTTATGTTTATCATTTTGATTTGTAGGATGAATTGGTAAAGAGTTTATGGAATGTAGGTGCCACATGGTGTGTGACCATGGTTGGCTTTTCCTTGTCAATTAGGTGTAATAACCTTTGAAGAATGAAAGGGGAATGGAGTTTCCCCAAGAAATTCACCAAAAACAGGGGAGACCAAGTCTGCCCCAGGTGTAGGGCGCTCAAGCGCTGGTTTGGGTGCTCAAGCACGCTATATACGTGAAAATAAGTGAAATCCCCTGCCTCTTGGCGCTCAAGCGCGCCGGAACATGTCCAAGCACACTGAAAAACCTAACGATGACAAAATTCTCCGCCGTTGGGCGCTCGAGCGCCCATTTGAGCACTCGGGCGCGCATCCCGAAAACAGCTCCAACCTAGTTTATTAAAATTAGCATAACTCAAGCTACAGATCTTCGATTTGAGCGCGGTTTGAACCCACGTGAAGCTAACTGAGATATCTATAACATAGTGTGAGATGAGAACTATAAAGTAAGTATAGGAATTCCAATTTAATAAAAAGAGAAGAGAGTTTAGTATTGAACTCGAACAAAATAATAATATGATGTTAAGTTCGTTTTTGATTATTCCGTAAGGTAATAAGGTTATGGTCACGCAATTGGTTATTTTAAACTCGGCGTTGTTAAAAAGGAAAAGCAAGAAAGTTTTAAAAAGAAAATGAAAAATTTATCCGGGTTTTTAATTGAACCAATATGATTGTAACTGCGCTTAATATCATAAAGCAATGTTAACAAACCGGTTCTAGAACGGGGTGTTACATTTTATGGTATCAGAGCAGTTTCTTAGAGAAACTTGTGGATTATTGCTATATCTGCTTGGTGTTTAATGCTTTATAGTTGTTTTGGTACTCTTTATGATTATTGCATTTGTGATCACTGAGTGTGAGCTTGATCAACTCATTTCTTTGCGTAACATGTGTAGTGTAAACATATGATTATGTAATGAACTTCTAGATGATGTATATTGATAATGTTTCTGGTATAAACAGAATGTGATTGTGTTGTTTGGTGACCGTGGGCTGGTGTGGACTCTTGTTTGGGATTGTTAGCTTGAGAGGTAAGCTTTCGTGTCGTCGGTTTTGTCCATTGTTGGTTCTACCATATCTCATGGAGGGATGATTTATATGAATGATGTGTTTTCTGAAAATATATGATGAATATGGATATGCTATTGAGCTGTTTTATGAGTGCAATTGCCATATGATATGTATGTGGTGTTCCACTTAGACGGTAATCCCTGAGTATGTGGAGTCATACAAGATGGTAACTCAGTGGGTGAGGTACAAGAGTAATGTGGGTTGTAGACGTACGTAATTCCTACCTTTTTATTCTCTGGCCAGTAGGATGCTTACACACATGACATGGATATATGCTGCATTGCACCGATTATGAAATTATACTGCTATTATCTTTTGGAACTTATATTGCACATGTAAGTGAGCTTGAGGTGGAGAGATCATTGAGGACCCCTTGCCTTACTGATATTTACTTTTAGAGATCTCACCCCGTGTTGGGGCACATTTTCAAGTACAGCTACCTCTGTGGTTGAGACCTCTGGTGGCAGGAGGCCAGAGTTGAGCTGATTATGCATGCTGGTTTACTGATATGCCTGGATATTGATTATGCCTTGCTATTAGCGTATTGTTATTTTATTTGAGACATTGTTTGGCTATGTTGCCTTATTTGGTGAACATGAGGGTTGTCCATGCTACATTGGTATCAACAAGTTGTTTTATATGTAAGCTGTAATATTATATCAGGATATTGTCTGGTCTACGTGTTGTAGTTCCGTGACTAGATACACATATATTTATGCCATGAGATTATTCAGTGTAGTATTTGTTGCAATTTACATATAGGCTACATTTTGAAAAGGAATAAGTAAATCCACTTGGTTAATAATGAATGATTCATAATTAGAAAGAAAAAGTTAGCTTCCGCATTTAATTAGCTGCGCTATTACCATATGTATGTTTAATACACCAGGTGCACACAGGGTGTTACAGGTGCCCTCTAGAAGATTCAAGATGTGCCCTCAAGATGAGTATCCAGAACAGAAGCCCTGATGTGCCTCTGGCATGTGATGTTTTCCAAGCCAAAAATAATAAGAAATCAGTCATAAAAGAGCATTTCTTGTATATTAATAACTTTTATTAGTTAGTTTTCCTATTTCAGTTTATTTTTCATCTTGTATATCATTTTTGCAGGTTAAAGCAAGAAGAAATAGGAAAATTGAGAAAATTTGAAAAA